CCCCAAAACCCCAAAACCCCAATCAATAGCATAATTTAAAAATTAAAAAAATTTATTTTCTTAGTTTGATAAATTAATATAAAATGAAATAAAGCTTTTTTGAGCAATAACGTTCTTCTGATAAAAATACTGAATTCTCAGATTTATTAGTCATATAAAAAGACATGAAAGATATCTTTCGAAAGTTAGATAGATAGGATTATAGATTTAAGGAATCTCTTAAATAAGCTCACAATAGATTCTATAAAAGAATATTCAAATACAAAAGAGCTCTTATTGAAGGTAATGAAGAAATCGAATTTGTAAGCGAGGAATTAAAATAGATAAAAAAGCCTAAAGTTGAAAGAGCCAAAAAAATGTACAGAGAATAAGCATCGATCAATGTTGAAGAGCATAAATTATAGACCAGTAGATTATTAAAAAAAGATAAAGTCCCAGAAAATGCAAAAGATCACGATGAAGCAACTAATAAGCTTAAGCAGATTTTTGGATTGAAATTAAAAAAAGAAACGAATGACCTGAAAGTTCACTATCAATAGCACGAAAGGGAATTCATTAAAGGAAATAACAATAATGAAATGATAGCAGCATTAAAACTTGAATTTAAGGAGGATATGAAGTACAAAGTTGGTGATATTTATGATTAAAACAACTAGATAGAGTCCCAGGAGGTGAAAGAATTATTAATGCACTAAAAGATAATTAATTAGTTAATGACTGAAGATCTCTATCAAAATATGAAGCAATATGAGTTTATTAAGCTTATTTAAAGTCAGAAAATTCTCGATGATGTCTCTCATAAGTTATATGAGAGGGATCCAAGGATAATTAAAGATTAAAGTCACTTTAAGTAGTGCTTAAAGTACTCTGACAAGGATCTATTTATGAAATTCAGAGATGAAATAATTACCTATGATCAATTTTTATCAAGAATTGAAGAAAAACGATTTGGCACGGTTTATAAAGTTCTTGATGATATGAAGGGAAAAATCTAAGATAAATTTATAAAAAAAGAGAAAGATGATGCCATCACTCTAAAGGCACTTCATTATGTAAAAGAGCGAGGACACAGCAGTAGTTCAATGAGTTTTCTTGGGGGTAAACAATGCATTAGAAGCATATTTAAAGATTAATCTTAGAGTTAGAAGGAACTTGCAAAAGCTGAGAAATCTATTGATCATTAGATGAATATGAGACATAGAAATGAAGTTAATCAAAGAAAGTAGGAATAAGATGAGTAAAAGTAAAAATGGGCAAGAGATAATTACTAGGAATCTGCAAAGTAAATATAAAAAATAAGGGCTAAGAGTGAGCTTAACACTATTTAAAGGTAGCCAATGGATATTTAAAATGAGAAAACCAAGCAAATAGAGTAAAAGTTAAGATCTAAAAAGTTTAATGAAAGATTGAAACAAACTCTCAAGTAAAATTTCGAATAGTATAAGAGAGAATAATACAACCAAATACCAGAGTCTAGTGATCCAGATAAAATTTTCTACAAGTAAAAACTAGCTTCAGATTTAAATATAACAGAGTAAAAGAGAGAGAATACGGGTAAAAATAACCAAGATAATAGAATCTCACAACAACAATAAATCATAATGAGGAGAAAAGAAGAGTCTAAAGCCAAAAGATAGAAAGAATTGCAAATGAGGTTTATAAATAGGCTATAATAAGATGGTTCGAATACTGTTTCGGGCCAGACAAGGTAAATCCTTGATAGTTTAGAACATCATATTAGCTTAAAATTACAAGATTCAGATCAGAATAACCAAGAATCTATTATAAGGAGACTTCTAACATCTACAAAAATTTCCATTAATTAAAAGAACTCTAATTAAAGTGCCCCTCAATCCTAAGACTCAGTATTATCGACTCAAGTTCCTCACAACTAAAGTCAAGAAATCAATGATTATGCCATGATTTTTTCTCATAAAAAAAGAAAGAGTGAAGTCAGTCCAAAGATAAAGGGAATAAATCTTTTTAAAATAAATAAAAACTCAATAATGCAATCAAAATTAGAAAGAAGAAAATCAGATACATAGGCATATTCATATCACGAGCAAGAAAACAAGTCATCAATGGAGAAAAGTGATAGCAATAATGTTTCTTAGGAATTCAAGCAATGGTATATAAATGCTATTGGTAGATACTAAGGTCCTGATTAAAAGTTCTTTAGTCTCAGAAAATCATTAGAGATGCCTCTTGAAAGATAAAGGCCTTCTACATCAGTAGGTGGGGAAAGAGGCTTAATTGATGATAAATATTAAAATCTTAAGTCACTCTCTCAAGCTTATTCTTTGAATGTATCACCAAAGAATTTGATTAATTACAAGCCACTAGATTACAAAACCAAAGCAATTATATCAAGACTGGCACAGAACTAGGTTAAATAGCTTGAAAAAGACTAAAATTATGATAGCATTAAACATAGTGTACTTGATGCATTATACTAACAAACCTTTCAAGGTCAAACTTCTCTCGGTCAATAAGATTTAACTTAAGACTAAGCTCTAAATCTAGAGGAAGATATCGAGGCATAATAAATTGATCTGAATAATAATCAGGGCAAACCTAAAGTACAAAAAGGGAAACAAATCAGGATAAAAGATGATAGAAATAAAAAGAATGGTCAACAATTCTCCAAAGAGTTCACCTTTCAAAACAACTTGCTTTGACTTAAATTTAATTTCATTAGTTTCAAATAATTCAGATTATGCTAAATGGGGTTTTGGGGTTTTGGGG